CCTTGGGCTTGCCGTCATCGTCGCCCTTACCCATCATAGACTGCAGGGCCTTGACCAACAGGGGCTTCTGGCGACGGCTTTTCCGCGACTACACCATGGGCGTCCTTGCTGGATGTAGCTCGCTCCTCGCGCGGTGTTGTGTTACCGGAGGACAATGGGAAAACCTTGGGTCCTGCAAACAGATCCTTCATCTCTTCAGGTCAGGTACCTGGTAAGGATCAGGGAGCTCCGAAGTTGCTTTACCCGTGATTTCCGTCCTAAGACTTGCAGGGCTTGGTATGGCGTTCTCCGCTGAGGCTGTTCCTTGCCGAAAGCCATCCTCGTGATGCGGTGCTGGTACCCCACCTGAAGACCGAACAGCTTCGCCAAGACGCCTTTGCAACTCAGCATTTTGCTCAGACAGGTCCTGAATTAGAGAATCAAATTCTACCTCCTCAAGCGTGATAACTCGCCTATGTTCTGCCTGATGTTCGGCAAGTTCGTTTGAAAACTTTTCTTTCAAGAAGGAGATAGTTTCGGCTCGGTTGGTGTCGAAGGTTTCCCTCATAGCTAGCATTTCCTCATCCTTCCTGTCTACCTCTACGGACATTTCGACAAGACGGTTTATGAGGTGCTCTGTATGCTGCTCTTGCATAACATTCTCACTGTGTCTTCTCTCAAGCGACTCCTGAGTCGATCTCAGCTCAGCCTTAGTAGAACTCAGCTCAGTCCGCATACCGTCTGAGAACGTGTTGAAACAGTTGGTCAGCGCTGCGATCCTTCCCTCATGCGTGGTATCGGCAACTTGTCTGAGCTCTTGCATCTCGGCCAAGACAATGTTCCTTGCCGAATCCTCGTACTCCCTAAACCGGAGCTCAGCTGCAAGGCTAACGGCCTGGGCAGCTGCGTGGGCTTCCCCTGCAAACGACACCTCCACATTTTGCTGCATGAGATGTAGAGAACGAGCGTCATAGTACATGTTCTGCTCAAATGTGGGAGGGCCATGCATTTCTTCGTCAGGGGTAGAAGCGGTCGAGGGCACAGGCACATTTCGAGGATCAACCAAAGCAGTCGAGGGGTTGGCACCGGCCATAGCGAACTACGGCTGATAACCTGTTGTTACAGGATCAGCACTCAAGTGAAGACAAGAACTACCGGTAAGTCGAACCTTTTTCACGGCGACTGCGGAGGCAAACTCAAAGCGTTNNNTTACATAAGTAGCCTCAAAAGTAGCTAAACTACTCGGAGTGCAAAAACAACCTCGAACCATCTCGGGTCTGGGCTCAAGTCTTGCAAGCGGTGAGGTCTCACCTTCTTGGTCCAGCATGTCCGCCTCCGCTTACATGCAGGAACCCCATATTTTGAACCCCTGTATGGGGGTTTTCGACAGCTGGAGGCCCCCAACCCCATAATGAGGATTAGAGTTTTTTTGGGATGCATATTATACATTCTGTTTGTGATTTTAGGCTCTCCTTCTAAAATTTTCTCCTGCAAGCAGTGGTGAAGGCTCGCTCAAGCCGAGCGAAAGTTGGACCAACGTTGGACCCTTCCAAAATGGGGTTCAGGGTTTAGGGATATGAGACCGAAGATCAGCCGAATCAGTTGGGGGTTTAGTTTTGTACGGGGAATGACTCAGACGCAGACCATCAGCTGCATGTGGAGGCTTGATCAGCTAGAGCAGGGCTTCCTAACTTGCAAACCAGGACCTTATTCAGGATCACCACAGAAGGACCCAAATTTCGCCTACTTTCTGGTGCTCAAGGGGGGAGTGGATCCGGAGCATCATGCAATGCAGCAATCCCAAACTAAACTCCACAAAAATCCCTCTTCGCCCTGAAGCACCAGTAAGCCTGGGAGCACCTCCTGGCCCTCCTGGAAGTCTGAGTGCGGCCTGGAAAGGTGGCCACACTGGAGCTGGGTCTAGGTTTAAGGGTTTAATATTTAGGGGTTTAAGGGTTTGATATTTAGGAGTTTAAGGGTTTCATATCTAGGGATTGGGGAAAAGTTAAAGGTTTCATTGAATTCCTCCGTCCCTTCTTATTATGAAGCTGGGATAGGTTCTTGTTCAGGGTCTGTGGTAGGATGGGGGAACGCATCAGCAGAGCAGTCAAGCTTGCAGGACACGTAAAGAAAAGGCTCAAGGGAATGTTCTTGGAATTGCTGTAGATCACAACAGGTACTAGACCTGAGCCAGGGTAACACGCAATGTTCTGTCATGTACAATAAGAACCACAGCAGACCATATTTACATGTGTTCATTAGAAATCCCTTTTTGGAAGGTCGGCTGTGTAGACTTAGTGAGTGTACTAACCCCGGAAGCCATATTATGATGACGACAGCCATGGCCGATGCTGACCTACTAAGTTCTCAAACCTTCGACGTCAATCCATTGGTTTTCTATAGGCACCTACATAACTCAGCTTCGACCGTAGCATCTTCCTTTTCTTTTCTACTTGATTCTGCGTAATCCTGAGGGCCCCTAGGCGTACCTAATCCAACCTGATTGAATGCCATCCTAGAGGGTCCAATATACCTACTTTGGGGACCAAGCATATACTATTTAGCTACATGGATTCTATTGGGATTGCCGAGGAGCCTTCCGCGGATCCACAAGACTACGTGGAACCAGCGCAGCAGCTCCAGAAATCGAAGGCACGCCCCACTCTGAGTGACAGGTAACCACAAGCAAGGCGGGCAACTGCAGCATCGGAGCATGGCCCGCGAGAAGCAAAAGATGCCAGCAATCGGCCCGTGCTATTTCAGCGCACACCAAGGAAGGACTGCAATGCATGCGTCCAGACAGCTCTTGAGCTGAAATCGAAGCAGATGCTATTTGAAGAGCACTGGAGACGCCGAAGGGCACGAACCTGGCTGTTGCTTGTGCCCACCGTCTTATCGAGGATTTGCGGGTAGCACGAAATCATGATTCTTGGGAATGACCGAGAACCATCACAAGGGGTTCAAGATTCAAGTTGAGCTGGTGCCCTCCTCATACCTCTAATATCAGGCCCAGCTGGGCAAGCCAGCCTGCCTACAGATGCTTCAACCTGCCCTTCCTGCACTTGGAATCGGCTGCCTTAGATTGGTATTGGAGCATCCGCAACAGCCAACAGCTATGACACACAAGTTTCATTCTCCTGGGTAAGCCTGCCTGCAAGAGTTCCAACCTGTCGAGCATGGATGCATGCTGCAGCTCCGCCTGCTGCCCACTCGAAGGTGCTAGGCTGGCCCAGCTCATTGCGGCACACAAGCAACAGTTTTTCTGTTCTTCTGAAAAAGCTTGGGATGACCCCGGGCTTGCCTCTTGCCAGCGCTGGCAGTTTCTTTTTGTTGCGCGAGACACCCCAGCTGCATCCTCAAACGTGTTGAGTGAGAGATAACGTGCGGCCTTGTGAGTTTTGACCTCTTGTGGACCAGTGGATCGGTAATTGGCACAGCGTTACGAGAAAGATTTGCCATGTGTATCTTGCAGCAGCGGCAGGCATTTTGTTGAAAATCTCATTCAAGCTCGCACCAAGCCTGCATTTGAGGAAGATTTGCCCTAGTGCGGGCATGCCTTAAGACATCTGCAGAATGTCTTTCATGATTGGAGAGGTCATGCAAGCAGGTGTCAGGGCCCGTGAGGCCCCTGCGAGGGTTCGCAGACCATGATCGAGAAATTCTTATGGACAAGCATGCGTTTGTGACCTTCTGCATTATGCGTTGGCAAGTCCGGCAGTATCACGTCCAAAGCGGCCCTGCCACGTCCCGAATTTGGTTTTGAAGGGAGGGTGTTATCCTGCGTCAGTCGCAGGACGGAGCTGCTGATGCCAGCTAGGCGGGCGTGACGTGCCAGGAGAGGATTACAAATTAACTTCTACGTCTGCTCACTGATGGCGCCTCAGCTCCTGAATCTGGTTGGCTGCCCTGCGCTTCTCCGACGCGACATGCGTGTAGGCAAACGATGACGCCAACATCGAAGATCACGTTGCACAGCAAGCCAGCAATTCATGCCTGCGCAACGCTCGGCAGTCCTGCAGTCGGCAGCTGACGGACTCCATCGCATCTCTACATGTGCAGTCTCTGCGGGAGCTCATGAAAACCTAAGACATCTGATGCCCATTGTCACTGCTCCCTTCAGTTCCCACGCTGCTTGCCGGACCTCGTTTATTCAAAGCGGTCACCTGGCGGCAACAGTCCAGAGTCGCAGCGTGAGCGCGCAAGGCTCGCGTAAGGATTGCATGCTTTCTCTAAGCAGATAGTTTCTCAAGTGTCAAACCAGGCAACTGGACAACCAGCATCTGAGCGGTGACAGCTCTGCATAGGCCTCAGGCTGCAGATAGTTTGTGCGATGCTGCAGGCGGTTGCCCTTCGTGCTTGCGCCTGCTGTATAGTCCAGAAACCACTACGTGCACTAAAAGCACCTTTGCATATCATCCGGGCACATACTCTGCTGTCTTCATGCTGCTAAGCGAATGTCTCCCGGGCCCGCTGCATAGGGCCTGGGAGAGTACGGACTAAAATGCAGCGATCCTCATGCCAAGGCCATAGAACTTACTAAGGCGGAAACGTGCTCGTTTTGATACAGCATGCAGGTGGCAAAGCGGAGTCGCGGAAGGCTGAGCATGCTGAGATTTGCTGCCAGCCTGACAGCAAAAAACACCTTGTCCACAAAACACCATTGATTGAGCAATACTCAAGCAACCATTCCATCTTCCACAGCCACCGCGATGAACCAGTTCCTGGAGAACATGGAGCAGCTCCCCATGCTGCTGCCCAGGCCTGTGGACAGGGCAAGGCTGGGATCAAAAAGAAGACTCGAACATGTCATGGTCATAGCAGAAGTTCATAAAGATGGTAGCAAACAGTAAA